GGCTGACCAACTGCACTCAATGTGCAGTCCTCAATGGAACTGCATCTACATGGAGGGAAGTATGCAGCAGGGTATCCCAAGGCTCTGGTTTAGGCCAATACTCTTCAACATCTTCATCAATGATTTGGATGAGGGGATAGATGGGGAACTCATCAAATTTGCAGACGACACCAAGCTGGCAGGAATAGCCAACACTCCAGAAATAGGCTTAAGATACAGAAGGATGTTGACAGACTTGAACATTAGGCACTCTCTAACAAAATGAAATTCAAATGGCTGCTAGTTTGACAAGGGAACAAAGAAAAACCCTGAAATCTACACATGATGCTAATTTCAGAGAGAAAGTCCAACTTGGAAACTCCATTAAATAAAATATTAATATTATTACAAGACACTCTGTTTTCAGGATATTAATCAAATTAAATTCTCTGCAGCTTCTGAGAAATAAGCACATATCTATGGACAGTGGTGGGATTCAGCCAGTTCGCACCACTTCGGCAGAACCGGTAGCTAATTTTTTGTTGCCTAGGCCCAGAATGGACTTCCAGAAGCGGCATCCACACAGAGAACGCGTTGTTCACATATTTGAATCCCACTGCCTATGGATGACTTTGAAAAAGATTTGAAATAAGCAATGAAATAATGAACAATAAAATACATCACCACTAGGTGTCAGGAAACCTTCATCGTGCTCTTTTGGGTTGGGTGTGTCAAAAATTCAGAAAATGCCTAACTTGATTCTGCTGGCATGTCATCCCCAACCCACTGAATAAAAGAGAAACAATTATTTACATATACATTTATTTGAAAAAATATAGCCCAATCATGTATGTTGTTGTAAAGAACATCAAATAATTACAAAAATGAAATACGAGTGAAACAAACTCAAGAAGGTCCGGAGACTGCGTGAGCACACGTCACTCTTGTATGGCCTCTGAAAATTGTGTGAGAACGGTGTGTTTTTTTGAACAGTTGTTGTTGGATGTTGGTGAATGTTGGTGAATGTTGATGTGTCACTCAAAACATGGTATGTTGCCTTTGATATGCGTGTCATACGTTCAGCATCACTGCCCTAGAATTTCTTACTAAAGGATTTTTATCCTTGGTGAAAAATTTCTGAGCGGCTTCTCAAAATATATGTGCAGCAATCCATATGTTCCTTCCTGACAGATTTTCTATAGCAGTAAAAATAATGGAAACAATCATGAGAAAAGAAAACAAGGTTAGTAACAAAGCAACATTGAACTGGAAGAGTCACTCTAAACCAGCGTTTCTTAAGGTATGGTACTAAAACCCCTGGGGGTCCCCCCCTCCAAAACCCTTTCAGGAGCTCACAAAATCAAAATGATTTGCCAGCCTATGTTGAAAAAATAATAGAAAATTTAAATCCCGTCAAACAATTCTGAGTGAATGCATCAACTTTGAATGTATACCTAATTTCAACCTTTGTATTTGTCAATGCTGAGCCCTGAGAAGAAAATAGCCCAACCCTGAAACATTAAGACTAACATCCCACACCCAGCACATCATGAAACAGAAAGTCTCAATCCTTTTATTGTTTAACTTTAGCAAGCTTGTTAAGTTATGAAGATTAAAATACTGTAAGGAAACGTATAGCGTGTCTCCATATTTTTTTCACTTTCCAAGTTGCATCTATTGCTTTCTTTGTTCTGGCCCTTTCCCAAGTACCTTTAAACCACCAAGTCCTTTATAGATTTTGTTCAAAATTGTACACATAGACTAGATTATTTGTATTTTGGCTTGACTAATATATTAGACCAAGGACATACTTTGCATCACCCTGCTTTGAAAGCTTCCTTTTTTCTTTTTTACCATACTATGAACTCAGATACCCCCAGAAAAATGTTTCCCTTAAAAACACAATCTGAGTTTTTGGGGATGGGCATTCATTTTTAAAGCCTATTCATCTATAAAGCATGAATGCTAATTCTGTGGTAATCACTTGCCCACAGATTGTGAATCTGACCGGAAATTTGAACTAACTCCCCAAAATGTTCAAAAATAAGTGCATTATTGAATAAACCTATTATGCACATGTCACACTTCTGTGAAAAGCTCTCATATTCCAGCATCAGTCCAAACACCTGCACAATCAGGTATGAAGAGAGTGCCTGCTAATGGGACTTTCCAAATGCATATGGTCTGTGCACAAAAGCTGGTTACATTTGGTTAAAAGGATCGTATTATCCCCACATGATTTGATAAAAAGTTGCTTGCTGGAAGTTAGTGTAGATTTCTTCAAGAGAGGTGAGATGAAGGATCTGGCCCAGTAGAAGGCAGTTGTCTCCTTTCATAACGTTGTTATTATCATCATCATCATCTTCATTATCATCATCATCAGGCAACATTAATAATACATCCGTTGTTTTTTAAAGAATTTTCAGATTCCAGTACATCTACTTGAGAATTATAAGGAAAACAGAACCTAATTTGGAAAGAAAAGGGTCACCGTAGGATTTCCAATTATTTTGTTAATTAGATTTCTCATCTGTGAGAGCCAGCATGTCAGTGTATTGTCACTGCTTAATTTTCTACAAAAACAGGGGGAGGGGAATTAAAGCACAAGAGTGGGTGCTCAGTTACCCCTTTCGCCAACTGCCCTTTTCTGGTTGAAACTGCTTTATTCAAAATATGCATTTTCCTCCTTATGGTATAGATTAGCTCACTCAAAGAAAAACAGCCAGGAAGGGGAAGAAGAAATTCTGAGGAGGATCAAAAAACCCCTCCATCCACGGATTCTGTGCTTTAGATTCATTTCCCCCTCCCTCTGTTTCAGAGGAACCTGGCAGCACCATATGGCTGCTGCCATCACGTCTAGCTTGGCCCTTCCTTACTAGCGGCACGGCGTGTGCCTTTTCTTAGCTTCTGATTACTTCAAGATGTTAAACTGTTGCTGGGGCCAAAGGCAAGAAGCAGAAATTCAATACATTGCCAGAAGTACAGCTCAGAACAGATACTGAATTAGAATATATACTGCACATTTAAAATAAAAATAAAAAAAGAATGTATTGGCTTCCTATCCCCGTTTTTATTTATTTGCTTTTGACATCCACTTCATAAGGCCCCATGTCTTTGATGTTCCTCTATTTTTGAGGGGAAAGACGTATTAATCCATTGCAGCAACTATAATTAAAGAGTCTTGGAACCCTTAAAATACTAATTTATTTATTATTAAATTAAGAAAACATAATCTAATGCTAATCTAGCAAAATTATAGAAAATCTTTCCCATCAAAAAGTAAACATTTCAGATCCTATGAAAGTTCAGGTCAGATTTAAATTAATAGTATGTACCATTAATAAACATGTGATCATGTCTCTCATTCTTTCCCGCACCCCTGCCACCCATTCCCCATTTTATGGAAAAATAAACATTGGGGATTTCATACAGAGTGGGTCTTTAATGTGAAAGCTGAGAGAAAGCTTTTAACCATTTACTCCCTGCTGGGTTTTCATTTCTGATTAATAATCTAGATTTGAAAAAACTCAATTCTTTATCAGGAGACTTTTTAGAAAGAGAACAGATAGATTTGAAGAATTAGGTTCAGGACAACATTGATTTGTATACCAGTCTCACTTGAATTACTTTATAGTTCTGAACTTCTGATAAACTTTTATTTTAAGATAGTAGCTAAATTATACATCATTTATAGGGCAAAGTTTGTAGCTCAGTGGAGAGGCACATGCTTTTTATATGTGTTAGATTAGGAAGTATTATTTCTAAACTTCTTATCTGGAGTCTTTCAATTCTTTTTGATTACAAAGGCCATTGCATGAATTCAGTTCTGCTTCTTTTAAATTTCATAAATTGCATTAAACGTTCTGTAGAATTACACATTAAAGTTTCATAAGTTCTAGAGAATTTAGAAAGCCATATAGCTTTTTAGAAAAATATTTTAGCAGACGTCAGGTTATGGAGAAATCATTCTCTAGTTATCAGAGGAACTCTAGAGGAAATCTAAATAAAGCCTATTAAATCGCACCAGTCACTCTCCATCATTTTATCTCCAAAATTAGGGAAAGAATGGTTAAGATTCAAGAGTTCTTTACAACACCATAGCTTTTCATCTGATGCTAACATGCCCGCACATAAACCTGCATAGAGGAAGAGGATTTAAAAAAAAAAACATGGGAAATTCAAGTAACATTTCAGGGTTCATTTCTACAACAAACTCAAGGGTTGTTATAGAAATGAAGATACAAAGATTAAAGGCTGACAAAGCAGTATCAGTAGTTTGCACTTCACGAAGGTAGCTCTGTCGGCAGTCTTCTGCAATCAGAGCCTCCAGATCATCAGGACGCTTATCGTCCTTCCCGGGAAGCCCAACCTTTGCCCATGCCGGCTAGAAATGATGGGCAATGGAAGTCTCCAGGTGGGTACAGGTGATACACCAGGTGTATCACTTGACCTAACACAAATTATTTAGAAATATCTTTTCTTCTTCAGACTTCCTTCCATACACATTAGACTACAACTCCTATTTCATGCAACCTTTGGTCATAATTGGACTGGATTCATAGAACAAACGGAACAGAACAGATTTAACAGAGTTGGAAGGGACCTTGGAGGTCTTCTAGTCCAACCATCGGCTCAGGCAGGAAGCCGTTTCAGACAAATGGTTGGTTCTCTCTCTTTCTCGCTTCCTCCCTCTCCTTCTGGAAGCTATTTCTCTATATTGGATCCAATCCCTCTCCCTATGCAGAATTCCTCCCGTCCCCCGCCCGCCGTCCTTTATCCTCTCTCAGCCGCAGGGCAGGCCCGTCCCATCCCGCGTAACCCACCTCTCGCCACCAGCACCGAGTTGGAGGCGGGGCTTTCTCCTTGGCGCCGCCTCTCCGTGAGTTGCCCGAGAACTTTTGTTTTGGGCCAGCATTCTGGCCGGAGGGAAGTTTTGTGGAGGCAGCTGAGCGCCCGAGAACTGCTCGGCCGCGGGTCGGGGTGGTCGAGGTGGTGAGAAAGGGGAGCCCCAGAGTGCCCGGATCGGATTCTGCAAAAGTTTGCCTCGCCGCCATGGAAAGGTCTCGGGGGCTGCCACTGTTACTGCTGCTGTTGCTACTACTGGCCTCCTCCGCCGAAGGTAAGGGCGTCCCTCCAGTCTGCTGGGCTCCCACGGGCGGGACGCGAGCAGTTCTTTGGTTCCCCTCTTAACGGAGGTGGCGATGAGGTCTCCCCTCTCTGCACAGGTGGCAGAAAGGCGCTGTGCCTTACCGGGGACGATCCTGAATATCAGGGGGCGCCCGAAGAGACTGGCCAAAAGTCGGGGTGGAGGGCTGATGGGTCGCGACCTGACATTTGCAGTTGTATACACAGAAAAGGCTACTAACCGGTCCTCTCCTCTGAGGCTGGTGGACAGAGTACAGCCCTTCAAGGCAGGGATTTTAAAAACACCCATAATGAATGTCTACGGGGATTCTCGCTCATCCAGGTCGTGGTGGTCCAAAAGGTGCTTTTTCGAAAGGCAACTGGACTTTCTTTGTCATGAGAAGTGAAAGGTCTTCAAGGGAAAACCAAGCCCAGTTTTGAAAAAAACACACCTTTAGGACACCCATAAAGAATGCTGATTTCCATTTCCCACATACCAAGTATTCCTGACTAGTTTCTAGCGCGGAGGCAGGACTGTGCCAGAACCAGAAAGTAAGAAGTGGGTTTTGTCTGAACTCACCTAATACGGGGAGCCAAGTCCAAATGGAAACCTCCGTTGGAGGGGCGCGATATGCTTCAGGGGATGCACGGGGCGAAGGCAGCTGCCTGCCTGGTGCCTCTTTTCCTTCCTTGTTCTGGATGAGGCTCTAATCCTCAGGGTGCAATACTTAGCCAGGCGCTGTAGAGTCCAGCCATGAGATTGCAAAGAGGAAACTCGCATCTGCAGAGTAAGCCCCTCTGAAGCCTGTCTCAGTGGATGAGGCTGAAGCTGGTTACTTAATACTTCTTCCACTTCTTTATTCCAGTAAATGTTCAAAAAGGCAGCTTAATCAGTAAAGGACAATGGTAGATGGGACTGTTGAAGAATGCTTTGTTTGTGCCTATTTTGAATGAGACAAACTTATGCTGCTGTAAGACAAATTCTGTGTTTAGAGAACCATTTGGTTAAGGTGAGATATGTACAAATATAATTATTTATATTACATTGAATTATTTGTCATGAAGGGCAGAATGCCCTAATTAAACAGAGATGATTTAGATTACAGTATTTTTTTTTTAATTAATGTTAGATCTTACACAAATAAATACATGCTATAAACTGTGCTTGCATTGATTTTATTGCTAGCTGTTCTTATAAAAATAAAGAACTAGGAATAATGGATGTGTCCCACAGTGATGTGTTAAATGGTGTACAAGAACCCCAGTTCTAAATCTCATAAAATTATCTTCTACTCAGTTTTACCAGCTCATAAAATTATTCTCACAAAACATTATTCTGCATTTCTTGGATACAAATGTGATGAGCTAGAATGGTAAAATATATACCAAACCTGCATTTAATAATGCATGTATGCAAGAAGGCTGAGATCCAGTACCATTTTTGGCATGGGTATAGGAAATGCATGCCAGCTGGTAATATGATTCAGCCCATATCTGAAGAAAAACATGCCAAAGAAAAATATAGCAGCATTAAAAGTCTAATCTACAGTCATCTATTCTGGGGATAGGAGGGAGCTATTTCTAAAAGCCAAAGCTAATTGATTCCTTTGGTGCATGCCTTAAAAAAGTCCTCTGACATACCAAAGTCATCTTACTATAATCTGGAGTTTGGGAGTGAGGCTGGAACATGTGCTTCTTCAGTCTTTAAGTTTTTTTTTCAAATCATAGTAATTATTTGCTAAGCAAGTCCCCCATGGATTCCTCCCTAAAGGCAAAATCCATAGTTCCCATGCAGTTAGATGTCTCCACAAATGGTAGATATGCCAGAGATGCTTTGTCAATTCATGCCTCTAAAGGCAAAGTGCCTGCTAGTTCTCTTCTAAGACATCTTCAAGCAATGCCTATCTCCCGTTAAAGTACAGTGACACAAGCTACGTACATTTTCAGACACCCCTAATATTAATCACGCTAGCTGAACTGATTAGAGTGAGGTCCAGGATTATGTGGAGGTTCATGATTAGCTCATGTCTGTTAAAATGTGCTTATTTTACTATTGCTGCTATTGCTTCAGAAAAGGAGAACAGCTCCCCTCCCCCTTTTAATTAGAATATCCCATCTATTCTTTCTAAGAAGAACTTTTCAAGATTTTGTCTCTTATTAATTTCTGTTCCATAAGGAAGGTAAACTATTACTATACAGTGCGGACAAATCAAGAGAAGTGATAACTATTAGACTGCAATAATAAGGCCACATTTGGAACACTGCGTACAGTTCTGGTCAACACAATACAAAAAAGATGCCAAGACCCTAGAAAGTGTGCAGAGACAGGCAACAAAGGTGATAAAGGCTCTGGAGGCTAAATCATATGATGAACAGTTGAGGGAGGGAGATATGCTTACCTGTCAAAGAGAAGAATTAGGGGGGACATGATAACTGTTTTCCAGTACTTGAGGGGCAATCACAGAGAAGAGGGACTGACATTGTCCAAAGCACCAGAAGGAAAAACAAAAAGTAATGGGTGGAAGTTTATTAAAAGAAAGATCCAACCTAGAAGTAAGGAGAAATTTTCTGACAGTAAGAACAATTAATCAATGGAATAAATCAGGGTCCCCAACCCCTGGTCCGTGGCTGGTGGTCCGCACAAATAAGCAAAGCCCCATCCACAGCATGTAGGCAGCACACAAAACCACGCACCCTCCAGTCCGTGGAAAAACCTCTCTCCACGGAACCAGTCCCTGGTGCCCAAAAGGTTGGAGACCTCTGGAATAAACGGTCTCCCAGACTTGTGGGTACTCCTCACTGAAGGTTTTCCAAAATACACTGGACGACTAATTGACTGAGATGGAATAAGGTTTTCTGCCTTGAGCAGGGAGTTGGCCTAGAAGACCTCTGAAATCCCTTTCAGCCCTATGATTCTATGTTCTATGTTTTAGTTTTGTTAGTGTCTTCTTTTTTGTCTGCAATTGTAGTGGAGCTGTCAGCAATAGTATTAAGGGGAAGTTATGCCAGTTTTATTTTTCTTTAAATGAAAAACAGTAAAAACGCAATAATGTTGAAAAGAAGCAGGTTGAATATGATCGCATTTTTAAAATTTGAATAAGGTGATGTGATAAGGTTTCCTTTTCATCTGTCCCATAAATTTCACCTTTCTTTTTGAAACTCTAAACAGCAACCCCTCCATCTCCAAAAATGGGCTCTCCCAAATCCAGAAGGTAGCCTTCCTGCAGAGCAAAGTAATAATGGGGATAGGTGAGATTAGTTTTTCCACTATGTATGGACATATTGAATGAATCACACATCATATCTCCAAACAAGATGAAATATTAATTATACACTAGAACTCAGCTGAAAGTACAGTCAAATTTTGACGTAAACTTTTAAAATCCCTACCAACAGTTCCTTAAAAAATAACATATCTGGGACAAATTCTGGGAATACAACAGTTCAGAAGATCATGGATTCTGAAGAAGAAATAAAGAAATGCAATTAATGTCAAAAGAAAGGCAAGTGCAGGCGCCCCTTTCTAGCACCTATCTGGCTCCTCTGCATTCTGGCAACATTTAAGGCAGAAGTCTGTCACTTTGGAAGGTAGACAATGGAAAGTTCAATTAACCTTTTCTCTAGATGAAGTTTGCAAATATGCAGAAATTAATTAATCACAATGTTTGTATTTACAACAGTGCGTTTAAGGTTTCACACATGCAGTCCTATAGAAGTTCTATTTTGGGAGCAGGAATGAGTTCCAATTTCATGCCTGCTTCTCCTTTGACTTTGTGGGAAGCTGGCTGGGAGCACTGGAAATCACAATCACATGACTATAGTAGCGTGGCAGTGCTACAGTGACCACAACTTTACAACTGGCGTGAGGATCCTTAAAATTTCAATCACACAGGAGTGAATGGTCCTGGATTTTATATGCATTCTTCAAGTTAGCAGGTTTAAGGTCCTTTATTCAAAAATTATTGTGCTATCCTGCCCCGTTTGGGATAATTAAAGGTTACAAACAGATAAGCAGGCAGGAGAGTTTTAGTACTATATAGATTACTAGCACCTTGAATTGAACCTGGAAGCAACCAGGCAACCAATGTAGTTCCCAGAGCAGAGGTGTAATGTGTGTTGATCTGAGTGCTCACATAAACTGCCTGTGCTGCTGCACTTTGGACAAGCTGAAACTTCCAGATGCTCTTCAAGGGCAGCCCCATGTAGAACACATTACATATTTGTCATGTGGAGCTTTAGTTTTGCTGAAGATGATATTTGCTGTTTATGCTTTTTTTCACAACATTCTAATGTATAAATGCATTGCAGTCTATAGCCCATTTCTTTGTGAGAAAAGTTGTTAATAAATGTCTCAGAGGCTCTGGGATGTCCGTCTATCTGTATATGTGGGTAACCTCTAGCAAAGTACAGCAGCTGGGAGAGGGCCTTTTCCTCCATATCCCAATAGGACATTAACTATCAGAGACAATCATGGATTAATAAAGGCCTTCACACAAACATCCCCCCCACAAAAGCACCGTAGGTGTTTAGTAATAATTTTTCATATCAGAAAATAATCAAGGAAAACAATACAGAAAAAAAAGAATTCTTACAAAACTATTGTAAAGGAATGTTTATAAAGAGCTGTTGTAAAAGGTATTGTTAAGAAACTAGCACACAAATGCAGAACCAAAACTATTTGGCTGAAATATGGTGTAGACAATAAGAAGCTTTGAAGATAACATGGAGGACATTGTTTCTGAATTTGAAATTGAACATGATAAAACTATACCTCTTAATTTACAGGTCTTGCTAGTGGAATAAGAGAAGCAAAGGAATTTGGCTTGACAACATCTACAAAGTCATATTCACATGAAATGGACTCAGTTGGTGTACAACCGGTAGCCCAGTCCTTTCTGCCCCGGTTAAATTATACTTCTCCAGTCAGTGCACTGTCATCTCCTATGGATTCCAGGCTTGCAAAGATCAATACGGTCACCTCATCAGGAGATCATGCAGGTCATCTTCTCCGGTCAATTAAGTTTAATCCTACAGTAGGAACTATACTAAGCGCTGAACATATGGACATCAAATTTAATTGCTCGATCAATGTTCCCAAGTCACTGGTCAACCAAGACTTCCCACTTTTTACCTTGTGGAAGAATGGGAAGGAAATTCTTGATGTTGGCAGGATAGCCAGCCAATATTACCAGTTTGATGATAATGAAATAACCACTATGAAAGCTGCTTTCAGGTAATTAGCGTTTATTCCATTTAATTTTAATTTTTAAAATTTTCTGGAGTTAAATATTTATGAAAGAACCCATAGATTACAGATGATTTTCACATTTACTTATTTAGACTCGCCCTAGGGGACAATTTTTCCTAATCTGTTGCTTTCCTTCTTCTGCCTTTTATAATTATGTGTTTTCTTCAATGATCCTAAAATCAACTTACATAGTACTCTCCAGATATATTGAGACTATCAGACACTTGCTGGCTAAGAATTCTGAAAGTTCATATACAATGCATTTGGAAGGCACACCACATTTAAGA